ACTGGTCAAAACTTTAGTTTAACTATTATTTCTTCTGAAATATTTTGAATGTTGAACCGTAGAATAATGTGAAAAATACACATTATTGTTATCTTCTCTTTCACTTATAAAATCTCTTAGACTATAGGCCTCCTAAAGAAGTTGAAGTAAGGTTTTATATAATTGGAAGAATTATCCTCAAACTAGAACGTGAAAAGGAAATCCAAAAGTTAACCTATTTTCCCAGTTACCTCAGATTTAGTTGCACCGTGCTGTTGAAAGCTGAAGTGTCATTTATCTACCTCAATGACTTTATATGAGTTAATATGTAAACATGAAAGTATTTTTCAGTCATTGGATAATTAGTAGTGCCCATTAAAATAATATCATACTGAGTATGATGTTACCACTTCAGAAATGAACAAAATGGGATTTAAGTTGTTTTGAAATTTCCCCCTGAAGGATCATTTTATTAATGCCATTTCTTTGTTCTGGAATAAAAGTAAGTAACAAGGCAATGCCAATTCTGTGCAGCCTAATGAATTATGGTGCATTTCAGTACACAATTACGGAAAAAGTGTTTCCCAGGACATAAAATTTCTCTCCGAAGCAGAGAAAAGAATAAGCAGATTGGAATTCTCTTTATAACTTTCTTAGGATGCCAGGGTTTGGTGGGGGACATGGTGTGCTGTGACAGGGTGCTGTGGAGAGTGGAGGAGGGAGAGGATGACTATCAGCCGCTATTCTGAGACCAGCTGAAGCAATGAGTGCTCTAGTCCATCCACCAACTCCTTTTTAGAAAGTCCTTATTCAGAAACAGAGGCGCATGGGATCCGTGGAGGGGCTCCTGAGCATGCATGGTGAAGCAGACCTGGGCAGTTCCAGGGCTTCACGCTGGTGGCGGTGAAAATGCAGTGCTCCGATCTCCTCCCAGGGGGAGCGCGGTTGACTGACAGCTTGAGCTGTTGCCCCCTGAGACGTTAATGCCGTCCCAGTTCTGAAAGATCTGGGGCTCCTTATTGGGCTAGTTTTGCTCAGGAGTCTCCATCAACCTGGTTGAAGTTTTCTTAGAACTGGGCTGTAATCAGAGATCCTTTTACCCAATCCTCCCACCCCCTCGTTTTCACCGGCTTCAGAGCTGCATCATGGTCTGAAGGTTCTTCCCATTTTCTCAAGATTCTTCCTCTCTACGCAGGATTTTGTTTTCCACAATAAATGCCTTGCACATAATTATAATAATCAATTGTCTTACCTTGACATCTGCTTCCCTATGAAGTGACATAGGTTTGGGAGAAAATATCGATAATTTGGTATTAGATGTGTTAGTCATGGAACATTTGTTGGATGCTCATGTGTGGACATTGAATAGGCAGTTATGCACACACACCCGAAGATGCAGGAAGTGAGAAGAGAGGTCTAGTCTGGAGACAAGAAAGTTAGGAGTTGAACAAATATCAATGGCAGTTAGGCCATAAAACAGGATGTTTGCCAACGTAGCCATTAAATAGGGAGAAGGCCCCTGAAAATGAAGCCCTGGTTGACCACCCCAACCAGAAAAGATGGGTGAGCAGTGGGGCAGGAGGGAAGCGAGGAGAGTGTGACGGGCTGGAAGTCATGTGAAGAAAGTTTTTCCAGGGCGTCTATAACTAACCCCGTAAACGCTGCAGATGGATCAGGCAATATGAAGTCTGAGAACTGACGAGAGGATTTAGCAATTGTGGGGTAATTACTGACCCTGAGATAAATGATTTTAGAGAAGATATGGGGTGGGAGACAGACTTGAGTGGATTTTCAAGACAATAGGGAAAAAAACATGAATAAAGACATAAAGAGGGTGAGTATAGAAAATGCTTTCAAGAAGATTTGCCATAAAGGAGAGCAGGGAATTGGGTGTTTCCAAGAGGATGTGGTAGATTCAAGGAGTATTTTTGTTCACTTGTTTGCTTTTGTTTTTGTTTTTAAGATGGGAAAAATTAAAGCATGCTTTTATGCTGGTAGGAATGATCAAGTAGGGAAGGGGGAAGTGATGGTTTAGTGGGGAGAGGGGAAAGGCCTTCTGAAGCAACATCCTGGAGTTAGAGAGAAGGGACAGGGTGGACATTTCAACACTTATAATAGAAGGAAAAGCAGGCTGAAAAGGGACAGATGGAGGTAGGTGGATAAATGTGGGTGCCGGCCCTTGTGGAAAATCTCTTCTAACGGATTCTATTTTCTGAGTGAGAGTGGAATCAAACGGAGGTGTTAGAGATTTATATTTATCTGGAGAGAGTGAATCGAGTCAGGAATTGCAGTATGATTGCCTTACAGCATTAAGAACCCATTGGGGTTTAGGCATGAATGTAAAATGAGAGCCGTCAGCACACACTGGTTTTTCAGTCATCATGCTCAGCTCTGTAGGGACAGGCACGAATCAAACAGGCCCTGGGTTGGATTTAATTAGGGTTTGGGTTTTACCAAATGAATACTGGCAAGGAAGAGAAGAGTGATGGAGTTGAGTTGGTAAGAGAGGGAGTGATTTTAATATAAGGCAAGAGAGGACGTGAGGATGGTGAGTACCCAGGTTATTCCATTACCCTAAAGACACATCACATAAACAAATGCTGATGGAGTTTGTGAGTAAAATTCTCCTTCTGTGACAGTTTTATTCCATATATCAGCATGGCTTGGAGACGGGTTCGGGAGTTGGGGGGTTTTGTGAAGGAAAATCACCAAGGGAAGCACTAGAACACATTATCTGCCAACTGATAGCTTCCTGGACCTGAACTGAAGGACTGATAAGGCAGAGATATTAATGGCTCATATTTCAAAAGAGCAGACTTTTCATGTTAACAAAATGTATCGGTGGATATATTTGTCAAAGCAGCGAGCTTACTCAGTGATAATATTTTGCTTAGATAACATGGCCGAGCGTGTGTATTTTCTGCAAGAGCTAGTCAGAAGATTTTAATGAGAGCAAGAATCCCACCTTGGAACACAGCACTGAAATTGTTGCCTCACTTAACTTCTTTGTGCATCTACTACTTTATGCTTTATACTAATTTGCATTAAAATGATAAATGCAACTATTCCTTGTATACATAGAGGAAAAGACAGTGAAACATGAACACGATGCTACTTCTACTAAACATACTTCAGTAATTTCTTAAAATTGCTCTTTTAGGTACTCAAGCATTACCTCTGTGCCCTCAAAATGTTTTGAATTAGTATTCTTTAGGTAGCCTAAAGCCAATAATTTTTTCATGTCAAACAAATTAAGTATTGTTTATAGCAATAAGTCTTAGATTTTTGACAAATGTCAAATTTTTTTAAATGATGGGATATAAAATTAGCAGAGTTCTTGCCTTGATTTGTTACTTAAATTCGGTTTGCTTATTTCTGGGAAAAAAACACATTGATATTTTATTTGACAGCAAAGTTGTCCAAACAATGGTATTTAAAAATTTCTTTTGAAATACCCACATCTCAACAAAATGTATAAGCTAACATACCACATTTCTGGAGAACATGTTTAGAATCTTCTGCGGTAGGAAAAAATACGAATGTATAATACATTTTTTTTCATTTTTCTTTTCTTTTTCATTTTCCAAGTATTAATTATTCTAAACATAATATTTTTCTTGTCTAATAATGACTATACGATGTGACAACTGTTCCTTAAAAGCACCATTCCACTTCTGAGAATAAGCTTACATTTTTCTTAAGGCATATTAAACCTCTCCAGCCGTAGGAAGTCAGCTTGCCTGCCTGTGGAGTGAACCCCCCCGTGCAGAGGCTGTGTGGGAACGGTGAAGTCTGCACTATGCCTTTTAGGAGTGTCTCTTTCAGGGTCAAGCAGACTGGAACTCATTCCTGATTCTGTCACTCATGCATGGGCTGTGTGAATTTGGGCAAGTTACTTCATCTTTTTATGCCCCAGCTTTGTTACCTGTGTTCTCCTCACATCCTTCAACTGAATATTGAATGCAGGAGAATAGGACTTGGTCTGGTTTAGCAAAGAATCTCTAGTGCCCAGCGCACAAGTGGGTCCTGAAAAAATATTTGTTGAATGCATAAATATATAAACTATATGAGTAGAAGAAGAGTAAGTTGATAATAGAAATATTTTGAGGATAAAGTGATATAATACATGATGGGTGCCGAGCACAGTCCTGCGTCAGAGCAACTCTTCTTACTGGGGGGAGATCTAGATAAGCCAGGATAAGTCTGCCATCTGTGTCCTCTATTTCCCCTTCAGACTGTGGATGGCATTTGCACTAGGACAAGTGGCCCTGTGCCATACTGTCGCACCTGGGAATTGTCTAAGAAGGAAAACATTTATTTTATTACTACTCATATCTCCTGAATCTTTCATAATATTTAAGAGAAGTGGAAACAAGCCAAGTGGATTAAAGTATTTTGGCACACAACCTAAAACTCATGCCATCAATGAAGATGTTTTTAGAGCGTAAGCAATCATACCAGAAAACTGAAGGGAGTATACATGACATTTCATTGATTTTAAGATGTATATTTTAAATTTTTAAATATCCAAAAATCTGGATGCATTTTACAATCAATGGTATCTTACAGTTGATTGGCTTTTCTTTCTTTCTTTCTTTCCTCCCTTCTTTCCCTCCTTCCTCCCTCCCTTCCTTCCCTCTTTGTAGTTCATAATATATTATGGTATCATAAATAGATTTGATGAAATATGATGCAAACATATATTAAATCAGTGTTTATCAGTGTTTATTCTTATTATAACTGAACTCTGGACAAAAGGCATGTAGGTAATTTTTTTTCTAATTTCCCATCCCATGAAATTGTAATACCACAGATATACTCTGTATCTGTTTATGTATTGCATGTATATATGTGTTTTATGAATAAAAAAAGTAAGATATTTTTGCCCCCAAGAACCAATTTTCATTTCTTTGGGGGGCACAAGTACACTCACTGAAAATGCAGGTATTAAAGTGATACTTCATAATAGTCTTATTTTTAAAAATCTCATTTACTAGATATTGAAAATCATAAACTGATTCTTAGGTTTAGAGCTATTAGCTTTAATTATATAACAGACTGACTAGGAATTTTATTATTACCATGAATGGCTGTCAAAATTCATGTGAAGTTTGAACATTTGCTATTTACCCCAGCAGTCAGAAAGCTAGCCATAGAATTTTTTTGTTAACAAATAAAAGATCCTTAAGTTTATCTGGTGGTGTCAATCAACATATCATACTGATATTATGAAATAAGACTATTTAATAATTTCAGTGTATACATTTAGGATGTTCACTACTTCACCTTTACTTACAAATTCATGATTTTAAAGACATAACTTGAACACTGTATCAATAAAGAGATTGTTAAAGACCATCAGCTTCCATGGAGAACTGAGAGTCTCCTTTATGCTCCACATGTACACTCAGTGGGAAGGATGAAGATGTGTGATTCTGCAAGCCTTTGGGTAGCACTCCCTGCGGTCTAAGCAGTCTGGGGATTCCCACCTCCAACAGTAATGACGGGATGCAGAGCTCAGTCCATTTGTGGCCCGTGAAATGCACCAGAGGAAAGACAGGGACATATGACCATCAAATCAGGATTTTCTCTTGCAAAGCTAATTATTATATTCAACAGCTTTAACTGGAGAAAGGAGTAATTTATTTACTTGGAGTATCTTTAAATAGCAAGTTGTTCAGTGTGTTCTTAAATGTTCACTTTTATTTTTTCTCTGGGCAAGGTGGTTTAACTTACATCTTTTAAAAATACAAAAATCTTTAAAAATTAGTGATACATTAACCTTTTAGCCGTTTTTGTATGTATGCAATATTATTTTATATTTGACAAGTCAGACACGTGTATATTGGCCTAGTTGTATTGGGTTATGTTAAATGGCTATTTTTGAGAATGTGTCCCGCCAGATGTGCTGTTGTCAGGGGATGTAAACTATCCCAGTAGACCAAGCAAGGGGTCCACAACAATGAACACAAGCAGTAATGGAAAGACACTCATCAGCAGTACACAGACCTCCACATCAAGGCTTTATCAACCAAGTTAGTTTTACACAAGTGTTTGTAAGTAAACCAAAAGTGAATTCAAAACCAGAAATCATCTCCTCCACTGCTCCTAGTACTTGCTCTTTCTCTGCCCTTTAATCGAAGCATCTCCATGATACTCCGGGCATACACATCTCTCAGGTTAACACTGATATATGAGTCAGTGGCTATATTCTTGGTGAGCTTCTTCAGAGCCTCGCGCTGTCTAACAGCTGCTTCCTTGAGCTTTAAGGTGAAGTAGCAAGCAGAGAAGCGGTCGTTAATAATAGCAATAGGCAAGGCCAGGACCAGGATGCCCGATAAGATGCACATGAAGGCCACAATTTTGCCCGTGGTGGTGTCTGGTCTAATGTCCCCGTATCCCACAGTAGTCATGGACGTCGTGGCCCACCACCATGCACAAGGGACACTTGTGAAGGTTGTGTCGGGAATGCTCTGCTCAGCAAAATATTCCACAGTTGAAAATATAGAAATTCCCACAGACAGAAATAGGAGCAGCAGGCCAACTTCTTCATAACACTGGGTGATGGTCATTCCAAGTGAGCGTAAACCTGTAACAGAAAAACTGGTGTCAGCTGGGGGCACCCCTCCTCTCTCCCTCCCTTCTTTCCTCCCTTCCTCCTGCCTTCCCTGCTATCCACCCACAAACATGCTTTTCACATTTAATGTGGCTCCAGCACTGGGCAATGTTCTGGGGATACACAGATGATGAATTATAATCTTCAGGAAGCTCTTAGTCTGGTTGATGGGGCCAGATTGAGAAAGATAGAAATATAATCAGATTCATTCACTCACTCATCCATTTATTAAACAACTATGTTTATACCAAAAAAAAAGGGAAAGATGAGATGGAGGGCAGGCAGGGATGTTTGATAGAAGTTTGTACTTTAGTCTATGCAACAGGAGGCCTTTGCAGCATTGCACATGGAGGGCTCTCTTGGTCAGGTCTGCTTTCAATGCATCACCTTGGCACAATTTTTAATGCTAGTTTTATGTTGTGTCCCTATATTTTATGTGTTTGTTTTTCTTACCTTCCCGATAAAGTTAATGCAATTAGGGGCGTCATTATCTTAAAGCCAGAGGAAGTAAAAGGTACCCACCAAGAGAATGAAGTGAAGCAGCAGAAGCAAATTAGGCATTAGTAATAAAACTGACATAAGAACATCAAATGTTCATGCGAAGACATTCTTAGAGGTGTAGCAGGAGGCGCTCCTGCAATCCCACGGCACTGACTGAAATTTTTGTCCTTTATATCAAAGCTAAGGGAACTATCTCCCTTGAGTACATAGACTTTCTCCTTTCCTGTAAGAGATAGACCTGAATACAGACTATTCCTCCACTGCAAAAAGGTACAGGGGACTGGAGCCACCAGATAATTTCATGCACCCATGAGGCCTTGGTGAATTTCCCATTGTTAGTTCTGGGGATTCTGCAGGACAGACCCAAGAGAGTCCAATCTCATCTCTGAAGAGACTAAGCCCTAAGGAGGGTAAGAGGAGCCCATAAGAGGATCATGATTTGAATAAAGCATCTTCCCCAACACTAGAGAGATACTGATTAAAGTTTATCCACATTTTTAAGTCATATTACCATGATGTTACAATGATAGTGTCTCAGAAGTCCAAAGCAATACCTCCT